GTGAAGACTGACAGCCTTGGAGACCCTGTGGGCGGTTCCACTCTGTCCTCTAGGGGCGCTGTGGGTCAGAATGGACTCCAGGCAGTGGGTGTGGTGTGTTTTTTATCCTGGTTCTGCACCTAAGCTTCCTGGGGCTCTTGGACAGACATACTACGCCCCTGCCCCGTGCACAGACCACAGGTTTAAGGCACATGTGGGTGTACATACAGCAGAAGCAGGTACAGAGAAGCTGCTGAACAGACAGGCCTGTGTGACTAAGCTGCACACACCACAGTGGGAGGCTTAGAGCTATTCTCTCACGGCCCGGAAGCCGGGGAGTGGAGATGCAGGTGTGGGCTGGGCGCTCCCTCTAAAGCTCTGGGGCATGGTGCGTCCTTGTCCCTCCCAGCTCTGGTGGCCCCCGGTGTCCCTGGGTTGTGTCTGCCTTGTCTTCATGTGGCATCTTCCCTGCATGTCCTTAGGGCCGTCCAGCTCCAGTGTGACCTCACATCAACTGCTCACATCTTCAGGGACCTTCCTTCCAAACAAGGGTCCACTCACGTGAGCCGGGCTCTGGGACCTGGACGTGCCTTTCCCGGGGACGCAGCTCCACCCACACCAGGCTCCCTGACAGGAGACCCAGGGCCCAGCACCATTAACCCCTGGGGGGCCTCTGATAACGCCAGCCCCACACAGAGTTTCTGAGTGGAGCATAGGCAGCAATACCCTGGTTTTCAGAGTCCTTTGGGCAAGTCTCTTTGGGCTGAGGGGTAAGCACTGGTTGGGGAGAAGTCCCCCTAATGAAGCCACAGGAGCCCCTGTGGCCATAATGTGGGCCCGTGCTGCTCCGCCCACAGGCCGCCACACCTGCGTGTCCCTGCGCATCCCACCCGGCTCATCCCACTTCGTCTCTTCCTGACGAGGGGAGTGCAGCTGCTGCAGGGCCTGCTTCAGGGGCCGTGTTTTCCCTGTTCTCTCGGCATCCCAGGGCGTGCCCACAGCGGACCCTGACTGAGCAACCCCATCTGTGACCGTGGGCCTGGGCTGAGTCAGCCAGCCAGGCCAGGGGAGGCCCCTGGAGACAGCTGGGGAAGATGAACTCAGTCGGCGGAACCTCGGGGCCCCGGGAGACTGAGCCAGATGTTTGGGGCCAAAGTAACATGACCCTGAAGAGGAAGGGGATGGTTCTGAGTCCCCCACTGGGCCGGCCGAGGACATATGTGCTCTTAGTGGCCTTTAGGACCACCCATCCAGGGCTGGGCGTGCACGGGGTAGGGGCTGTCCTGACTGTTCAGGGGCCGGAGCTTCTGCATGCACTTGGCCTCTCCCTGTGGCCTTGAAAGATGCTCCCTGGAAACATCATGGCCATCAGGGTGGCCCCTGACGTCCTCGCCGATGCCACTGTTGCTGCCTCGAAGTTACCCCACTCACGGAGACCCCATGTGCATCAGGACAGAACGCTGCCCCTACAGCCGTAGGGAGGAAGCTGTGCTCTGCACCCCCTTCTCGGCCGCCCCCCGGGCTCACAGCTTCACTCTGCAGGGGGTCTGAGGTTCAGGTGACAGGCTTCTCTCTGGTCACTCCTCACCAAGAGGCCGTGGGCCACCCGCACAGCCCTGAACACTGAGTGGGAGCAGCTGACATGCTTGGATCCTTGTCCTCCCCCAGGGGTGAACCCAGAAACACACAGAAGCAGGGACGGGGACGAGGCTGCAGGGACAGGGGCCTCTGCCCCTGGAGGTCCCTGTCTTGGTTCCCCAGAGTGGCTGTAACAGACACACGGGAGTGGGGAGTAGGGGCCTTTAACAAACAGAAGTCCATGCTCTCACAGTTCGGGAGCCTAGAAGTCTGAGTCCGGGGCTCTGGGTGAAGGCTTGCTCTATTTGTGGACTCTGAAGGAAGGTCCCCATCTCTCCTGAGCTTCTGTTCCTGGCCCATCTCCGTGTGGCTTGGCACCTTTCTTGGTCTCTGCTTCTCTTGGTTGCTAGTTTGTTGTTATTGTTGTTGTTATGTGCCGTCGAGTCGAAACCGACTCATAGTGACCCCTCCTTGGGTTTCCAAGGCAGTATCACTACGGAAGTAGATTGCCCCATCTTCCTTCCGAAGAGTGGCTGGTGGGTTTGAACCACCAGCCTTCTGGTTAGCAGTCAAGTGCCTTAGGCACTACGCTACCAGAGCTAGTTTAGTCTCTTTTATATCTCACAAGAAACTGACACAAGACACGCCCCACACTAATCCCATCTCATTAACATAACAAAGATGACCCATTCCCACATGGGATCATCACCATGGGCAGAGGTCAGGATTTACAAGACCTGTTTTTGGCACAGTTCAATCCACAACACTCCCAGGAAGCTCCCTGGTGCAGTGCAGACATAGCACAAGGACAGTGTGGACACAGCCTGGGGACAGTGGGGACACAGCACGAGGACAGTGGGGACAGTGCAGACACAGCATGAGGACAGTGTGGACACAGCCTGGGGACAGTGTGGACACAGCACGGGGACAGTGGGGACAGTGGGGATGCAGCCTGGGGCCAGTGGGTACACAGCACAGGGACAGTGGGGACATAGCCTGGGGCCAGTGGGGACACAGCACGGGGACAGTGCGGACACAGCATGGGGACAGTGGGGACACAGCCTGGGGACAACGGCTCACCTGGAAGAGGATCTGCAAGGCGCCATGCAGCAGGCACATACTGCGTCCCAGGAAGAGGAAGAAGGGAACCCCAAGCTCTATGATGTGGTTGCCGAGCGTCTCCGTGCGGTGAATCCACCACGGCGAGCGGTGTAGGTAGTAGGCTGCGGGGTTGGGCACCGGCTGGGTCTGCGGGAGAGGGGCCGTGAGCCACAGGGTTTGCTCTCCTAGCCGTGTGACTGCACCTGGGTGTGGGGCAGGCCAGTGTCTGCACACAGTCCTAAGGAGGAACAGCACTGCAGAGTGGCTGGCCGCATCCACTCCCAGGGCTGGAACCCATCAAACGCCTCTCCCGTGGCGGCTTCCTTCCTCCTCCACCCTCTGCCCGGCCGGAGGTGCAGCCCAGGGCAGAATGCAGGGGCTGCGAGGCCGGGGGCCAACGCCAGGGCCCCAGGAGGACACAGACGCAGCACCGGCTTCTTCACGCAAGCTCACGACCCAGTGGGCCAGTGACGGCCGGCCCTGGGGCCCTGCAGCATGCCGGCTAATTCCTGTGGCAGCCCTGAGGGGCTGTCTGCGAGTGGGGCGGGTGCCCAGGGCCTTGGAGAAGACGAGAAGCCCAGAGCTGGGGATGGGAGAACAGCTGGGTGTTGCCCAGCAGGAACACAGGGCATTGGGAGGAAGCCGTGGCTCATTCCTGAGGAGCAGGCTGCACCCCACCACGTGATGGTTGTGGGGGCTCTGGACCTGGTAGACTCCAACTGCTTAGGTGCATGAATGTTCAGGGTGGGCCATGGTGGGGCCGAACACAGACACCTCTGACTACAGGGCACGGGGTGGGGGGGCCAGAACTTCCCGCCATCTTTCCTGGACACAGAGGTTCTGTGGGGAGGGGAGGACATCTCAGGGGTCAGGCTCCTACAGTGGTGGGCTGCCTGGCCCAGCTCTGATCCCCACGTGGGAGTGATCCCCACATGGTGGACACAGCCAGCCTTGGGGGAGGACGTAGGTCCGGACATGAGCAGCTTGAGGGCCTTCCAGGGCCACACCTGCACTGACCCCCTTCTCCCAGGCACCTGGCTGTGCACCACCTGTGGCCTTGCAGACCCCGTGGGAAATGTCCAGGCCAGGGGACGGTGCCGGGTCTGGTGGCTCCGAGTCCAGCAGTAGCTCAGCTTGCCTCCCAGGCCCAGTGAGGAGCCTGGTAGTCTCTCCTCTCCCGAGGTCTCCTGAGGTGTTGGCTCCAGGGCTCCCACCCCCACAGCCATGCTCCCAGACCCTCGCTAGTTCCCTGGAGAGGGGCGGCCAGAAGCCTGATGACTGAGTGCAGCTGTGGGCCCGACGTTCAGACTGAGCTGGGCCCTCTGCCACCGTTTGGAGGTGTGGAGGGGGCTTCCTGCCACAGTTACGAGCTGGTGACAGGCTGGCACACGGTGACCCTGAGCAGGGTGCTGCCAAGGACATGGCAAAGAAGACGCCCCCACAGGGGTCACGAGAATGGGGAGAGGGACAGGGACGTAGGAGTGCTGTCCTAGTGACCTGGCCCGAAGCCCTGGCTGCCAACACAGTGACAACTACGACCCTCAGGGGACTGTGATGCCTATTGGTCGTGGCCCCAGGTGTGCCCCAGGTATCTCCAGGTGTGCACCCAGGTGTGTCTCCAGGTGTGCACCCAGGTGTGTCAGCTTTGACAGCAGCTGGTCAAGTTTGCTTGTTTGAAGAAGCATCCTTCCCCATTGTGGCCATGCCATCATCTGTGGCATCTTGCTGGCCACCCTCTTGGGATGGCCGTCAGGTGGGCGGCCCTGATACTTGTCTGATCTCCATACAAGAACAGAGTGCACTTCCCGTGGCCAGGGGCCAGCCCTGCATGTCGCTGCTGCGGGGAGGGGCTGAAGTCAGGGAGGGGCGGCAGGGAGAGCCTTCCAGGCTCCTGGGGGGTGTCCAGCAGACACAGACAAGCAGGTCCACAGCTGGTGCTGTTCCCGTGGCCCCACGGCCTGGCAAGTCACTCGATTCGGGGCCTGGGCAGCGGCTGTGCCCGCACCCTCGGTCCAGCCCCCTGCAGACTCGTCCCGTCCACAGGGGCCCAGGGGCAGACGGGGTCTGGGTGCCGGCCCGCTGTGGACACAGGGCCAGGTGGCACGGGGACGAAGTGGCTTTTTTCTTACTCTGCTCTGGGTTGGGGTCGGTCTCTGGGAACCGCAGGCCCCACGTGACCCTGGCACTGGTGGAGGGGATTTCCTGAGGCTCATACGGGATTCCCGCTGTGTACGGGATTCTGTGCCCAGAGGAGATGGAGCAGCAGCGGGTGCCCGGGGAGGCCTAGGGCTTTGGGCCACAGGAAGGGGCTCAGCAGCATGACAGCCGGCCCCTGCAACTGGCAACCCCACAGAGGGCGAGGGCCCCCGTTCGGTGGGGGCAGGGGCCGGCTGGGGGGAAGCAGCCACTTTGGGGGATTAAAGGACCGACAAGGTAGTCGGGGCGCATTTTTTTAGGGGGAGTGGGCATGAAGGTTTCTGAATGGGGAAGGACTCCCTCCACAATAACCAGTCGGACAGCTGCTTCAACCCGATGTGCTTCCCATTGTCCGTGTGTCAGCAGGCCCCCCCCGCCCCATGGATGCCAGGGAAGTAAAGCAGACGGGAACCAAAGTCTCAACCCTGTGACCCACTCAGGGGAGTGGAGGGTGGCAGCTTGGCTCGGGCAGCCTCTGGGCCACCAGCTCTGCCCTGGTTGGTGGCAGTGCTGCCAAGCCCACACTGCATGTCACCACGCTACGTGAAACGTGCTGTTCACGCGGGATGAGCGGCACGGGACGGGCGGTGCAAACGGTCACCGCCGCTTGTTGAAAGGCACCGCAAAGCCCATGGGGCGTGGTTCACTGATGCACACGGCAGTGCGGGTGTTGGAGTCGGCGGGCTTGGTTGGTCTTTGGTTTGCAGTGATGTCTGCCTTCTAAACGGTTTGGGATTCCGGAAGGTTCTGTTTTAGGAGACCGCGCCTCTGGCTAAGGGAGCTCCCGGGTGAGTATCAACATTCGCCCCAGAGCCGGCGTCTGGCGCTGCTTCTGCAGGTTTACGAGCTGCTGTGGGCGGTGGCGTTTGCGGTGGGAAGGCTGCTCGGCACACGGACCCCGGAGGCCCCCTTCCCCCACGGTCTGTGCTGTGATGCCTGCCCCCTGCAAACCGGTGACGGAGCTGGATTTTGTCTGCGCTCAGGCTGGAGGGACACCCCCCCGACCTGAAGTTTGGTCATAAAATGGGTGACAGCAGCCTCGCACCCTATAAAGCTCGAGTCAGGCCGTGCACTGTGGCGGCTCGGCAGGCGCTCGCGGTGTGGATGCTCAGGCAGCCGTCTGGAGGGCTGGGACACGGAGGGGTCTGGCCAGCCTAGGACCTCTGCACACTACTGTCACCATCTCCTTCTCTAAATAGAGACACCTTCACGTAAGACGAGGGCAGAGGCAAGGGCCTGGTGGGGACAGGAACCGGGAGGCTGCCTTCCTGTGGCCACCGCCTGCTCACACTCTTCGGCCCACCAGCGAGGAGTCGAAGGGCACAGGCCTGTCCCCCACCCTCCTGTGTTGGGGGGCTTTAGGCGCTGGGTTTTGCATGAGAGGCACACCCAAAGCCCGCCTGAGGACTGATTTTCTGAAGTCCCCCTGCAGCCCGTTTCAAGTGGAAACCCTGCGGCGGGGCACCTGCTCTTCTGCCATCCAGGACCTTGTCCCAGCACACACGTGGGTGCCATTGGGCTGCCCCCAAACGCCTGGGCAGTGAGCACATCGTGAGCAAAGGGGCTGACCAAGGAGCAGTGCGGGATATGGGTCTCCCAGGAGGCCGGACCCTGGAGTCCAGGTCCTCTGCCTGTCCCTTTGCTCGTCCCTCTGCACAACGGCGCCATTGGGGTGTGCGTCCTCCTCGGGGTGTCTGCGTGCTGGCCACGCCCACCCCAGAGACGCAGACAGTAGCTACCTCGGGAGGGGCCGGGGAGATGCTGGATCCACCAAGTGAGGGTCTCAGCAGAGAAACATGAAACCACCAAGTGTCCCGGGAACAGATCCACGGCCAGTCCCTGGGGCTCACATGTCCTCAGCGGCTTGAGGCCCAAGTGCTGAGTGCTACAGGCACCAGAAAGCCTCCCCTCGTCAGCGGCCTGAAGCTTCTGGAATGGTGGCTGCACCTTCCTTCTTGAGGACAAGGACCCCCCAGCTGGCAGGCATGTGCCCTCCTAAAATGGCCACCCACCTGCTACCCAGGTGCGTCTCAAGGCAGACAAGTCTCAGGGTCTCAGGAAGGAAGAAGAGCCACCAAGGTGCAGGACGGGAAATCAGAGCACTAAGGAGACAGCAGGGTCGTGAGCATCGGGCTAGGAGGCTCCCAAGGATGGCCACCGTCAGCTCTGGGCACCCTCCTCCAAGGATGGCCACCGTCAGCTCTGGGCACCCTCCTGGACCCACCACCAGGAGGTGTCTGCTCTGGGAATCAGAGCCGGCCTGTGGCTTGGTCTTTGAAAAGACGGGCAGATGGGCCCGTCCCTGTGAAGGCAGCTGCCATGAAGGTCCTCTGCAAGGATACAGAGCGCCCTGTGGAGAAGAGACCAGCCCGTCTTACAAGGACACACCCAGGACGCTCCCCAGGGGTGATGACAATGGGACCTGGGCTTGTCTACTTTGGGGCACGTATCAGGAAAAACCAGCGCAGTGCCTAAAGCACTTGACTGCTAACCAGATGGCTGGTGGTTCAAACCCACCAGCCACTCCTCAGAAGGAAGGCTGGGCAATCTACTTCCATAGTGATACTGCCTCAGAAACCCAAGGAGGGGTTGCTATGAGTTGGGTCCAACTTGACGGCACATAACAACAATAACAGAAAGGGTACAGGGTGACCTCGGAGATACCATGGGTTTGGTTCCAGGCACCGCAATAAAGCAAAAATCACAATAAAGTGACTTACACAGATGATTTGGTTTTCCAGTGCATATAAAAGTTATGTTTAAAAAGATGCAAGGAAGGAACTGGTCCTTAGGACTGATGGACCACACGAACCCCAGCTTCCACGGCCCTGAGATCAGAACTGATGGCGCCTGGTTCCAGTGATGACCGCTCTGAAAGGGACCAGTGTAGCAGGTCCCGGGTAGAGTGGGAGAAGGTGCAGAACAAAGCTCAACATCATAAAACAGGCCAG